ACCGGGATGCCAAAAAAGGAAATTATGTCCATCCATTTCTCTAATAGTGATGATGATTATGATGATGACGATGACAAAAACAACACAAAGAAGTGCTTTTTTATGGAACCAAATGTGATTATTATTATTTTTATCATATTGCCCTGGTGATTAATTGGGCTGGCTAGGAGGGAATAATTTGTCTTTAATTTTCCCATCAAATTATGATGACTGTTAGAATAAAAAAAGAAAATGGAGCAAGAGGAACTTGGGGGAGGGGGAGAAGGAATGAAAAACACTAGTACTACTGCTACTAATAATAATATTCAGACAAATCAAGTTCGCGTGTAGACCTAGCCGGTCAAATCGCGCACACGTACACACACACACACGCACACGCAAACGCCTATTTCAATGTGACTGTAAACTGATCATTAAAATGCGATCGGAGAGTTGTCCAATGTTGCCACTGTTTCAATTCACTGTCAACTTTTGTACAAAACTGTGTGAAACTTTTAAAAAGAAAAATGCTAGAATACCTACTAAACACTCAATATTAAGCTAATTCGCACAAAGAAATGAAAAGAAGTCAAAAGAAGAAGAAGAATAACAATATAACTTGTGCAAATGGAGATTTCCACGTAAAGTTTCTGTATTTTGTATTCACTGTGTATCTCATTCATTCAATAAAAACAATTCTGTTATCAAATACAACAGTACTGTGTATTCCACTGGTACATTGAACTAGACTAAGGTAAACTAAGTTTCAATAGGGAGTTTTGTTCAGAAGTCCAGTAGGTCAAGTTGCCCTACTTGGGTGTAGAGTAAACAAGAGTAGAGAAGAGAAAGAAAAAAGCGATTCAAAAGAACACTGATAAACAGAAATGTACAGGAGAAAGAAAGAATAGTTATATGGAAAATCATGAAGATTTGATGGACACGAGAGATCACACAGAGTGAGTGAATGCATCTGTACCACATTACCAATAGTCTCTGGCCATTTATTCTTAGCCTACAACTCCCTACGTGACTCTGCTTCAAAGGTTTTACAGAGAGCCGTCCGGTTTTTGATGTGACTACCTCTAAGTCTTTTCCAACCCAACCCTATGTCAACTAACATAGCATGTCAAGAAAGGTGGTGGCCCACTGTGTGCGACATCTCTCGTAGCCCCGTCTCAGTCACACAACCTGATCGGTTGACTTACTCTCTCCTTACCGAGTACTCTAAACATAACCTTAATATTATTGATCATATTGTACCACTTAACACAGGAGATAGAAAGTGAACATTTATGGTCAAAGACAGTCGGCCATGTTCTCCGCTTTCAACAGGCATTTCTTAAAGGTATAAAGAAGAACAGAGTGAACTGTGAAATACAAACTACTCAGTAGGAGTGATACTTAATGGCAGATTGGCCATTATAGTCTGCTGTACGTTAAATTATTACTAATCTGATGTCTGCTAATTAATTTAAAATGATATACCTTAGGTATTAGCCATAGTATATCTCTGACATTTACATTGTCTTTCTATACAATAGTCGTAATGTAGACGGGTGAAATTATTCAATTGCCAAAGTCTAAGTAGTATATACAATTGTTACAGACCGATGATGATTCATTGGTGTTTATATGACTGGTATACAACTACTCACCTCAACCAGTCAGTAGTATATAATTTCACGTATTTATGTTTGGTTACCATCTTGTTACCATCTATGGTAACACCACGCAGATCACTCACTGTAATTTAGGTTTCCAAAGGAAAATGTGTTGACATTTGATGTCAAACTGTGAAAACTGCGAATTCGAGTCAAGGTATTACCTACCGGTTGACTCAAGCAGCTAGCCAGAATTCGGATGGTTTGAACTGATTTAGCTCTCTGAGGGGAATCAAAACGGGTATAGGGGTGATCAGTTCGGCTCCCAAAAAAACCGAAACGACCGTCCGGTATTAAAATTAAAGTAATTCAGTTAGGAAAACAACTTTACACCGGATACCTCTGTATTCTCAGTTAAATATATATGCGTAGATCTCCTCGAGTCAATTTCGCCAGTTTTACAATCTAAAGTATACCGGACTACTACTACTACTACTAATAATAATAATAATAATAAATAACACTATTATTCAGATAAACAAATAAATTATTTCATCTGTATACAGTATACATTGAAAAACCAAACAGCAACAACAACAACAACAGCAATAACCGGTATAATTAACACCTGTTTCAGGCAACTTTTATCTTTTCTATCAGTAGACCCTCTCATCCTCTTTTCACGTTGCTTTCTCTTCACCTCTTCTTCTTCTTCTCCATTGTATAAAAATGACAGTAGTAATGTTAGCAGTTATTTAGTCAGTTAGTTGTGAGGTCAACTGAAGCTGGGGCTTCATCAGCATACTGGTATTAACTCTTATGTTTAACCTTCCTTCTTTATATATAGAACAAAGTTAACCAACAAACCAGCAAACAAACGGACAGATAAGCAAGAAGGAAAACACCAGTACAAAAAATATCAAAGGTACTATTTGTATGAATCATACATTTATATAATGTTTATTTATTTTCTACTAGTGTTTTCCTTCTCGCTTATCCGTTCGTCTGTTTGTTGGAACATAGATACAGATGTACCGGCTTCACTTGTGTGGCCACCCTAACAGTGTGCATTCACTCTCCTACAGTAAACATGTGTGTGTGTATGTTTATACATGGATTGAAGAATAGTGAAGATAAATATCGTTTTTCATTTCTGATTGTAATTGTTGACCTTTACATAGTTAGTTTAACAACCAAAGTATAAAAAGAAAGTAAAGAGAAAATTTTGATACATTCAATACAGTCAATTCAAAACGAAAAAAAAGCAAGAGGTAGGAAAGGAGAAAACATGAAAACTATGCAAAAATTATTAATATTATAATAATAAACCATAGTAGTGAACTTTGTCTCTGTCTTAATCCTTCATTATTTAGCATCTAAGACCACAGATAAATATCAGTTAGAGAAGCATTGAAAATCAGGAAAGGAGTACTGGACAGCTGTTTCGTTTGGGACTTACCGGCAGTACGCATCCACTGGACGGAGTTTCCTGGAGTTGGTTCTAGTGAGAAGTCGTGACCAGTGAGGTTCATCCAGTCAAGTGTGAGGGTGGATGTCCCACCGATGACATTGGTTGGCGGTCGTCCTAAATCACGGATTGGTAGAAGTTAGAATTCATGGGCTAGCCATTGAATCGGGTCCCAGTGGATCAATGGTATACGAGTTTGCCTTGTAACCGGAAGGTTCTGGGTTAGAACCCTGGTGGTGGGTGTGTACTGCCGATGATTCCCAGATCAGGATGAAACAGCAGCTGTCCAGTACTCCCTGGTTTTCAATAGTTCTCTAACTGATATCAATCTATGGTCTAACTTGAAACAAACAGAATCCCTACAAACTAATTCTTGAAAATCTATATATTTATTCATTCCACTTTGATGGTTTGTGTACGTTTTTCGTAGCTAAGTACATAGACTGTACCAGCATGACATTGTCTTGACATGCCCATGAACACCTACCTACCAACACGACTGTCAATAGAGGAACTTAGGACGGTCAACACCTCAATTCTGAAGTATATTATTACTTTTGCTCATGCAGTATCAGTAAAGACTTCTTTCAGAGTCATATATAGAGTACGACGAAATCGTTCGAAAGGATTTCGCTTACGTTTTCTTCATATGCAACCGAAGGTTAAGCAATCCTTGGAGAGAAACCTGAACTTTGTGTTCAGTAAACTTTTACCCAGCATCTTTTACTACCATGGCCTTAGCACTATTTTTACTTTCTTCTCTGTCTTCTTGAATAACTCGTCTAGTAAGATCTATGTAGTTCGTTTTATTTTCATTTTCAGTCTTTTGTTCTCTTATCAACTGTTTCCGAAACAATTATTCATCACTCAACCAATCAGTTGTCAAGCCTTTTGACTACTTAAGACTAATTAATATTTTTCAAGCATAGGTATTACTCATGTACTTTGATTTGCTGACAATAACCTTTGACCTCTATTGTCAAGGTGAAGTTCCGAAAGGAAGAGATCTCTTTGCTAACTCATTTATTCCTAATTATAATAGAGGTGATAAAAGACGTGTGAATAACTCCTGTGTTCATCATGACATACGATTGTGTTCGAAAGTCATTTCTATATGCACTTATATGTGTAGGCGTTATCCGTTAAGTAGTAAACAAAACTTAAGTTAGCATAGTTAGTTAGCATAGTCAATCATATAGCAATGATTCCACATTCTTCATAGTATAACTGCAATTCAGTAAGTGATGAGTTATACGAACATTTGACAAGAAGACAAGCCTATTCAGCATTCAACAGTATAGCTGCTATGCAATTTCGATGAAACCTCAAAATATCAGTGATAAAGCCAGACTTTAAATTTAAACGATTTCAAAGTACCCTCTTTAAAGGGGTCTGTCAGGTGTGTCACTAACACAGATACTGTTGGTCAGACAATTCCAACAAACGCTAACCCATGGTTAAGAATGCGATCGCGTGGTGATTTTCAATTATTGATTTGTAGGCGTGTGATTAATTTCAAGTTAGATTTCATTGTGAACCGACATCTCAGTTACAAAATCTTTCATTATCGAAGAGTACCAGACAAGCTATTTCATCCCTAGCTGGGACTCTTCATCAGGAATTCAATCCAGGTTACTAGAAGAGCACGATACTATTTAAAGCCACTGGGTCGTTGTTCAATGACTAATAAATTCTAATTTCTGTCAATCGGAGATAAATTACACCACTGACAACTGGTGTCACGACAATATTGTACGCTGAATCAATAGTTATATTCAGGATTTAGGAAATGTTGAATCTACACACAATATACCGGTATTGTACACTTTTACAAAATTATACTTGTCATGCATGTTAGAGACAATGTCATAAACTTTAGAGGTTCGATTAAAAGCACTTTATAAATCAAGCACGGTACATAATAATAAATGTATTATTAATAATAAACTTACTCTTCAGCTTCAACTGAATTGGCCTGAGCTAAATAGGAGGATGGAATGTAACCAACTTGTCCTGAGTGTTCAACCAACCACCAGTCGGAATCACTAGAATAAAAATGTAAAGTAAACAAAGAATAATGATGAAACAAAATATATACTACTTATAAGAATATTATTATCATTTACAACCAAATAAATTGCATGCATGAACTGCAATAAGCAGTACATCAGTCAAACTGGGCGTTCCATTCGAATCCGAATCCAAGATCACAAATTGGCTGTAAAAAGGCATGACATGTATATATTCCATCGTATCAATGCATGTGGATAATTATGGACACCAATTAGATGATTGGGAGAATGTAGAAATTTTAAACAGAGGGGAAACACCAGACAGTAATGCAGTCAGGGAATCCCTAGAAGCCTGGTACTTAAGTGAATCAACCAGAGATTAACAAACACACTCATTACTATAGATCGAATTTACCAGCTAATAAAAAGTAAATCATCACATGACAAGAAAGGTCGAATTCCAATTCGGTAATGAACCTGCGCTGAAGGGGGATGTTGTCTAGAAGAGGTGGACGACGAAATTTACGTAATTAAATCAACCAGCTCGGAGAACACAACTAATTCAATATTTGAACTGATGCATATATATATGCGGACACGCAGTTGATAAAATCGGCCCCAAAACGCCCGACACTGCTGTCCAGTGTTTTCATTACTTCTATCCGGTTAGCAAAGGCTAATGGCTGAATTAAAATCGATGCTAACCACTCAAGCAGTCCACTGTACATATCATTATTCAGTATTTGTGACTTTAATGAAAAGACTGAGGAGTATACAGTTAGTGGGGTTACAAATCAAAGGTAAGGATGAGTGACAAACACATTGTGGCGTGAGCTACTGTTACGATTTATCAGTAGTATATAAACAGATATTCAACGGCATAAAAAACATACAATAGCAGGGAGATACATTTGATGTCAGGGAAAGCAAATGATACTGCATTAAAGAGATAAATGGGAGATGTGAAAGGAACACAAAGAAAAACAATATGAAGGAAGGTCAGAAGTAGCACAACACGGAAGATCTGTGCAAATGGCGCGTTGAAGATAAGGTGTACATAATTTGGCTACACAGAGAATTGCAAATAGACATTCTATTACCAATTCTCTCGTCTTCTACCGTTACAACATGAAGTCTTCATATCAAACTCATCATATAACTTATCAAATTTGAAAAGTGTTGAATATAAATAGCTTAAACTGTAGGGATCAATTTACGCACAAAGTACGAAAGTATTTTCAAAAATGGTAACATCTCCTGAGCTTAGAGTTACAATGAAGTCATTTCACACTGAAGCATTTTAACTGGAAGATAGTCTCGAACGCCCGACACGTCAATGGTATCTATAATTTCACCTCGATACATTTTCTTAATAAGCAGTGGCTAGCAAAGTGTGATTTGAGACAAGCGTTACTCTCTCTCTGAATTTGAGACTCGTCAACTCGTCAAGTATGGTCTGATCTTAGCGTCTGGAAGTGTCTCATTCAGACTACATCCCACCCGAATCAAGCACCAAAACATTGTGGTGTTTAAATGAGGAGGAAATGCTCATCCTATACTAGTCAATATATGATGTTTAATTCACTGTCTTCATAATATTTTTTCTAAAGAGACACATCATCAGCCAATCAACCAAGTATAACAATCTTGATTTTTATTTTGAATTAGACTTTACTTGTCACAACTTTACTAACTTATGATAAAACATTTCGAAAAAAATATTTTATAGGACATTAGGAAGAAACTTTACCGGAAACGATGATTGTTGTATTTCTTCATTTCAGTCTCAGAAGTGTTTCTGACAGCTACCTGTAGAAAAATTGTTCTGTTCCATATATTTCCTAGGCTGATGACAATTGGGTTAGATATATTTTGTGATTAAAGCGAATAAAAACTAAGATTATGGAATTTTGGATAAATTCCAATGTTAATCTCGTCATTCAAATTAATCCAGATTCGTACAAAAATCTATAATCTAAATATCAAAGTGCAGCTGATTGACTGCTGCTCCTGGATAGATGTCCCGAATCTGTAGTGAGAAGTTGTGCCCAATAGTGCCTACCAAGTCAGGGTGAAGACCGTAGGCATCGAAGGCATTGGTCGAAGGTAGGACTATGTCTCGAATTGACGAAGTTACAATTCACGTGTCACTTAATTGTGGCCCAAGTAGGTGAATAATCCACGGGATTTGTTTCGTAACCCGAAGATCCCACGTTCAATCTGTACACGTTGCTGAGGAGTACCAAGCTAGGACGAAACATCTGGCCCATGCTTCATGATTTCCAATGATTTCTCTAACTGATTTTAGTTCTTTACGAAGTCTACATTGAAATGCTCTACCACATAACAACTAATCTTAACTTTACCTTAGGAGTTCGTCTATCACATATTACTGAGGCTTTTGCGATTTACATTAAAAAACCTAACTTATGTATCCAAAAGAAGCTGGTTTAGACACTGTCCTTACCTTGGCCATCAGGGTTTTATTGATCCTCAGTTTGTTGAGTAAATCTTAATTTTATTTGATATTCTATTTACGATTACATTTTTATGGTTATTATAACTCAAGCGTTGTTAGTACTAGATAGTTGGAAAGAACTCATGTCCCCTCTGTTCGAATCTCAGAAGGCACTAGTTACTGACTAGTGTCCCCATAAAAAATAACTTAAGTGTCTTTTTTGAGCTGTAATTACATTGATCTTACTTAACAAATTGATAGTATTTTGAAAAAATATTGTTAATGGCGATCATTCTAGAATTATATATATATATATATAATTGTAGAGTCAGAAGAGGAAATTATCGAGAAGGATATTCTTTGCTCAACTATTTTGTTTTTTCTAGATGTCTCAATGAATATTTTCGCTACATGGAAATCAAGATTCGTCAAAATCTATTTGGATTTCATAACTTAATCAACAGGACAGCTCATCTCCTAAACTATGCTAGTCAGGTAATAATCATGAATAAATCTGATGATATTTGGATTGTTTGTATTTTATGAGATGAGGTTGTTAGCAGTCATGCCCCCAGCCTTCACTCTTTTCAAGGTTCACTGTAGACTAGGTAAGATTTAGGAGTTTATAGGCCAGGAATGGAACCTGGACAGGCGGATATTCCTATCACTGAATCATCCAGGTATCCATATAAAGAGGGAAAATATGTCATGCTGATATCTACATACATCCATGTAGATAAACACTGTTATATATCAGAAAACAAAACACCAAACATGAAATATGGAGAGAGAGGAAAAAATGCTGCCAGACACAACGTTTATTTATTTATTTATACATCGAGAAGGGAATAAGACAAAGACAGAGACGATTGTGTGTGTGTGTGTGTGTGCACGTGGATACAAGCAGTTTTCACTGGTTTCATATACAAGATGCCACACACAAACATACACATATATATATTTATTACGGACATGGAAAATTCTCATTGTGAAAGTGAAAAGTTGACCACCAGAATATATACAAAATCAATGAAACAAATAAAAACGTTCTAAACTTTAGTAGAGGAAAAAAGGGATCAACGTTAACTATGGATAACTTAATCACAGCACGATGAGGCGCCTGCCTTAATCATACTAATACAAACAAAATAAATCAAACTTATCTACTGATATTATTATTATTACTGCTATTATGGCGTAATTACTAATTATTAATAAGCAATAGTATTCTAGTCTATCTGGGATACTGCGAAGTATTGGAAGATTGAACAGTTAGACACGCAAAAAAAAGCAAATAAACAGCCAGTTTGTGAAATAAAAGAATTCGTTTGTAAATAAAACCAAAGTTTAGTCTAGCATGCTTACACTAATCAAGAAAAGTTAGATTTGATTCTACTGTATACATTTCTGTGAAATTCATTTATGCTTACAACAATAGGAGTTTAAATTTCAACGAAGTTTCAACGAAGCAGCTGTCCTTGGTTTTCCAATGTTTCTCTAAATGATATCAGTCTGTGATCAGAATTGAAACACATCAAATGTCTATAAACTAATTCTTAAAAACTAATCTGCTGCTCGCTAGTGACTGGCTAAACGACGAAGTTTCCTGTAGTTCTAGTGAGAAGTCATGCCATGAGGACAAATAATCGCTGATGTCGTTGGCTGGTGGTCACCCTACAGTCAAGAATTGGTACATATTAGAATTCATGAGCTACTGGACCACATCAACATATGATATAAAAATGTCAAAACAATGATATACAGTCTAGGAAAGAAACCTATTATAATAATTAATAATGTCTAAATAAGCATGGTGCGTCGGTGGTATAGCGGTTAGGACGCTCGCCGACCATGCACATGGTCCGGGGTTCGATCCCCGGCCGACGCACTCCTTTACCTCACTAAGCCAGAAATAAAGCTGGTAAAGGGGAAAGGTTGGGCATGAGCCTAGCAACCTCATCCTGTAAAAATAAACACTGCTAAAGAAACTCCAAGTCACTAGCTTGAAGCCCTATGTTCCACTGGGAACGTGAAGGAATAAAAAAAAAATAAGCATGAACAGCGTAATTAAATCGTTAAGTTATTTCATTTCATTTCATTTTGCCCATCTTACTGGTTTGCGTCAAGTTAAGGAATAGACACTCAACAGATAAGAAGCCATCGAAAAACACGAAAGGTGCAGTTGTGTTAATAAACAAATTTAGGCCTGTTTCTCATGCGTAAGACTAATCTTCCTCCAACCTAACCATATTATTATTGTTCTCTTGGATTCTGAATGCAATATAGGGGGCTACAACAGCATACCTTTACTTCGGTATATTCTAATCGACTCGCCGTTTCCCACTAAGGTTCCACACAAAGACCTAGAAAGTGATGTCATTCGACAGTCCCCTCAGCGTATATCGCCCTCGAGATATTTGTAGAGCAATCGGTTCTTGGTTAGTTTGTTCCCAGAAAGTATTGGTGTTAACACCATCTGACTAGCCATCTAATAATCAGTATAAAGCGACGAGGGCACTTGTTGATAAAAGTCTCCAGCAGCCAGTTGGAAATTCATACCGTGACACCACCGCCA